AAGCTATTATTTCATTATCCTAAGTTTCTAAATTAGACTATTCTCAATTGAAACAAATGGGGTTTTTATTCTTGTTATAAGATTTGTTGATTATTCTTGTATTTTCTTAATTATTTTTTATTACTCGATACAATATAAGTATTGTCTCGGAGAAAGGTAGGAGCTAGTTACGTGATTTTCGTCCTCTTCTTATCTTTTATTTCATAAACATTAAATTCTAACGAAAACGATTTTTTATTTGTTTAATTATTTTATTTTGTACTGTGTTCCTATGTGCAAGTACCACTTATCATACAAATTCTATACAAAAATATGTTAAAGTACTTCTATAAGTCCAACCATATTAACATGGTTTAATCTCCATTTGCTTTACTTCATCCTTTCATCGTCGTTTGCTCCTCGGAGAGGTATGCTGATCTGAGGTCAGTTATTGCTTAGTCTAATGAAGTCATCAACATTAACATTAATCCAGTCAAGGCGTAGAAAGAGGTTATGAAGAAACCTCACAGTTAATAGAGAGTAAAACTGCTCAAATGCACTGACTCAACTAGCCTCAATATAATAATACTATATAGAAAGGAAGTGCTTTTTATCGCTTTTTGCCATGTTGCACTTTTTCGGTTTCCTAAACTAATCAACATATTTCATAGTTTTAAAAAAAAGCCGTTCAATCAATTATTAAAACCGTTTAAGTAGAAAACCGTTCAATGAAATATTTTTTATTAGTTTTTATTAAAATCGTTTAAAAATTTAATAATTTTAATTTTTTTATACTCTCTAGACTATATTCTTCCAGCGTCCTTTGTATAGGAACAACAAGACGAATGAAGTAGCATTATTATTATTTTTCATTAGTTGAACATTGCTAATTTTTTTACATAAATTTGCATTTTATAATTTAAAACTCGATTAAAAAATGCCGAAGAAATATTTGTATTTTTCACTTCTTTAACATTTCGTTGTTTTCAAGCAAAAAATAACTTTTATAGTTTTTGCGGTTGATTTTATCTAAAAACGAATTGGAAATATATTTTTTTTTGATTTTTATTTAAATAAAATTATATTAACTAAAGATCTTTTTACGCATTTTTCAATTGTTTAACACCTTATCGCGTTTATTTTTAAAACAATAAATACTTCAGTTTATCGGTGCCAAGAATTTTACTTTCACTATTTCAACTTAACGTACATGAATCCATTTGCAAACACATAAACTGTTATAAAATTATAACAGTTAACTTGGTAACGTGCTTTACATACAATAAGACAGATGAGCAAAAGATAATGCTAAATTATTTTATTAGTTGGGAATTTTTATTTTAATTCTTTAGAAATATCTTTGAAATTAAGTCAGATTTTTTTTTTATTTTTAGAAATTTTATTTTTTCTTCTTAGTTAAATTATGTTAGGAATATTTATTAAAGCTAGAAGTGTTAATTAATGCTGTAATTTTTATTGATACTTGAGTAAACGTAATCGTTTTCAATGCCTTTATTTAAGTAACTACTATATTATACTATACTCTACAATACTATACTATACTATACTCTACTATATACAATATTTATTGTTATTGAAACAATGTAAATATTTGTAATGATTTCTAGCATTTGAAGTCGAAGTGCTAAAATAGACAAAAACCTTCACAGTTCAAAGTTTTTTTTAATAATTCTAAATATTAATAAAACATATAGTAACATATATATATGTATATAAAAATGACACACGTGTTTCAAAGTATTATTAGTAATAACAGTTTATCAATATTAAGTGACTAATCCCTTTTTCGGAATGACACATTAGGGTTGGACTCTAGAAAATATTTTTCTTTAATAGCAATATATTTAAAAAAATATAAATACTTACTTTCCCTTCTTTATGACACCCATACCTTTGGCTTTATAAAACGAATCATTCATTTACTACTTTTTAACCAAATCTGTTGCCTATTCACACAGCACATTGTAATAGTAATTTTGCGTTTTATGCTCGCTTTGCTAAACACCCGTTCACACACAGTAAATCTTAATTTTATCTTAATTTAGTGTCTCATATTTATTTTTGTAATTGCGTTCGTAATTGAAATGATCGAATGTTGAAGTAAGATGCATATTTAATTCTATTTTACTTTAATTTGTCAGTTATTTTACTAATTACACTATGTAATTGTACGATTGTGAATTACGAATTTAATTTCAACTTTTTTTTGTATAAATTACTTTTTAATCGTATATTCCGACTTAAGATTTTTGTATAGAATAGAATTGTTATTTTAACTTGATTTTTTAATCAAGTTGAGGAAACCAAATAAGCAAAATACAAACAAATTACGATTATTTATACTGTGTAAAGGACTATTTTCAGATATTGTGTGAAAATTGCTTTAAGCGCACATCGACGGGATCAGGAATTCTGACCGGTCAAGGGTAATAAGAGACATTACATTAAGAAAAGTACTTTATATACAAAACGATAACTGGGGAATAGAAATACTGCACAGGTAGTAAATTTAGTAGTTTTATGTTAAAAAGTATAATAGTCCTTGTGGTCACTTTGACTACAAGTTCACCAAATATGTCTTAGTAGTTGACAATTATATAAAAAATATGTTTTTTACTCTTAGAAGTTATTTCATGTGTTCTAATCGTGGTAAACCCCTAAAAATACACAAAAACTTTTAATCTCCTTTATCTTCATTAAAATGTTTCTAATGATGTTATTAAATAATTAAAAATAAAACATCCGTATTATTAACACAATTAGTTTCAGATAATTTAATCTTAGAGAGATAAGGAATACAAAGGGCTGGATCGATTATTTAAGTGTCAAATAATTTGCTCCAATTTCTTTAATGCGAATATATTAAATAATTTAAAAAATTGCTTTTCATTGATTAACGTCAAAGTAATTAGCATTTTAGGGTCACAAAAGCGAAGCCTATTAATCTCATTCACTTGTGAGAAGGAATTGTATGAAAGAATTATATTATATTATTAAATAAAATATGAGTATTATGGGTTTAAGGTCTCTAATAGTTATATACAATAGATTTTAATACTAAGGACTTGTAAGGTTTTTAAAAAGTCATATACAATATACAATAGATTTTAGTTTAGTTGATTAAAACTTTCTGTATTCTGCCTGTGAATTCTATTTGATTACTGTGATTTCATTATAATAGCTAGATATTATAAAACAAGCGACCATTAACGTCACTGTGATAAGAATATACATCACTATACGATTATAATCATGTTATGACTATTATATGTTTATCATGATCATTATTATCGTATTTTGATTAATTAAGAATTATAATAATATTTAATAATTATCATGTTACTATTATTATGTGATTATCATGTTGTTACAGGGTATTTATAATTATACGGTTGTCATAATCATGTGAACATAATCATAATACATAATTATATGAGCATCATAATAGAGTCTCATCAACATCATTTTATAATAATGTCATAAATATCCTTTTATGAGAATTATCATAATAATTAGCATGTACTTATCATTATCGTAATTGTCATCATTATTAGTATAATTAACATAATTTGAATATTATAACAATAATGATGACCGCAATCATTATTATTATCATCTGCATCATTATCATTTTAGTATTTTCTTTCTCTATCATATTCCTCCACATGATTCTGGTTGTCTAACTTCTTTTACTTAAATTTAAACAAGTATCTTATTAACATCTACGAGTGGTTATTTTTGGTGTTATTTACCTTATTATGTGGGTCATGATCTACTTCTCTTGAAGTTGTTTATCTGTTCTTTTCTATGAGGTTTTGAATTAACATTAATTTACTTCTTTATATTACTGCTGCAATATTTTAACGCCACTTACATTAAACTGTTTAATGTTCATAACTAATAGCTTTCCTTTTTCATTGTTATATATCATATGTTTAGTCCTTATGCTATCGGATAGATTGCAATACTAGATAGATTATACTTTTCCAAATTATTGTCAATTTAGATTTGGTTAAAAAATAGATAGATATATAAGTACCCAAAATGTAGAGACCCATTTAAAAATGAGCTCTGTGACCATTATATCTTTTGAACTACACCTACTTTTAACAGAAGGTATTATGACTTATGAATCAAGACTAGAATATTCGAGGGTAAGAAGTTCCTGATATCAAAAGACGACAGGAGTATCTGCTCTAGAACCTTTCATTGGATGAGAAATGTTAATTTCCCTGTTATTTTCTTAATAGCAGTACAAAAAAATAAATACTTTAATATTACTTCATATTATAGATTACAAGTTCATGGTAGAGGGTCTTCGTAAAATCTCAATTAATATTTATTATTTGTGCTGTGATTATTACTAACTTTACCACACTAGAAATAGCAATAGAAATTGCTATTTGTCAAAGCAATTTTGAAGAGTCATTTTTCAGTGAGACTACTAGACTTTTATATAGACATATAAGGACACGTTATAACTGATATTTCAAGACACTACAATTTGTCGTCTATTTATTAATTAAAAGGTATAATATATACCATATAAATCAGAAGGCTATATAACATATTATAAATTTCAGAGCGTAAACTAATATACATAAAGCTAAAAATGATATCCAGTAAAAACTAGTATATATGTATGTATAAAGTCAATTTGCTTCTAATTATAGAGAAGGTTGGATTGATTATTTCTCTGCATAGAAAATGATGTTATTATCTTTGATAGTTGGTTGGTTAAGATCTTTTTTTATTAAATGTGCATGTTTTTTATAAAAAGTAATGTTTTTAAAATCGCAATTCTCATGTTTTTCTTTCTATGCAAAAATAATTAACTTTCATTGTTTTTGAATCATTATTTTATACTAAAAAAAAAAATCGTCCCATTACTGCAAAATTCTAGATATAATCCGCACTGATGCTTAAAGTACTAATAGCAGCGTTTGCTGTGGCATCTTTATAATGAATTAATATAAAAATCTTCAATAGAAAGGTCTATGACCTATTTAAAATTTTTCTCATCTTAACGGTTGGTTGCCACAAGCGAACTTTATCCGCTCTATCACAGACACAAGTACTTAATTGATGCAATAATTAAATATAATTGTGTATCTTATATCTCTATGTTTTTATCTACAACAACAATCTCAACAATTCCAGCTTGATTCATTTATTTTACTTTTACTTTGCATAATATTTGCATTAAATTGCCTCATAAATGCATTAAAACACTTTCCGAATGATGCGCTCTACCTGCAGGCCTTGCTAACAGTTGAAATCAGATATACTCCAGCCCTGTTAAGCCTCAAGTAAATACACTTTATCTTCTTTAAGCTTCGATAGATTATTTGCGGCAAGCTTGTCAAGTACTTTGTTTTTTTTCTTTTGTTAATAAAATATTCAAAGCAATTGCTGTTATTAACAAATCAACATAACTGCCCAGTCATCGTGACTACGAGCATTGCTTTTTCTACAAACTCACGACTAAACTGTGCAAAATATTCACACATAAACATTTTTTTCTTTTAGACACAAATATGGATGTCCTATCCGACAACGAAAGTTCGATGCCAAGTTTTCAAAATTCAGACTTCTCGACGTCACCGATAGAGGAACACGATGCTAAAGACGACGACATGACGTTCTGCATGTCGAATTATGCGAAAGAGGCCCTGAAAATGATGTTCATGATGCGTTCACACCATATGCTGACCGATGTGGTACTGGAAGTGAAACAGGAGCTTTTTCCCGCACATAAAGTCGTACTATCGGCGGCGTCACCCTACTTTAAGGCTATGTTTACCGGTGGTTTGAAGGAATCGGAAATGTCGCGTGTTCAGTTACAAGGTGTAAGTTGCACGTTCTACCAGCTGTGCTAATGCACAATTTTATCCAATAGCACCTTCAATAGTTGTATAGTTTTGTTAATCATACAGGTGTGCCCCACAGCTATGGGACGCATTATTTACTTTATGTATACCGGACACATACGCGTAACAGAAGTAACCGTCTGTCAGCTCTTACCTGCTGCCACCATGTTCCAAGTGCCAAATGTGATTGAAGCCTGTTGTGCCTTTCTCGAACGTCAACTGGATCCAACAAATGCCATTGGTATTGCAAATTTTGCAGAACAGCATGGTTGTGTGGAACTGCAAAAGAAAGCAAATTATTTCATCGAAAGACATTTTACACAGGTGAGTTAATATTCTTTTCCTTTTTTCTTTACTTCTCGATTCAAAAAATCTATAGTTTTATACTATATACAATCATAAATCTCAATGTTTTTTTTTAGGTATGCCAGGAAGAAGAATTTCTTCAGCTCTCAGCCTATCAATTAATTGCATTGATACGCCGTGATGAACTGAATGTGCAAGAAGAACGAGAGGTATACGATGCGGTGCTAAAATGGGTAGGTAACAGAAACATGTAATAACTCATAGGGCCTAAAATATTATATATGTTATATATACACATCAGGTTAAGTATGATGAGGAAAACCGTTATCCGAAAATGGAACATATACTATATGCTGTACGTTGCCAATTCTTAACACCAAGCTTTCTAAAAGAGCAGATGAAGAACTGTGATGTTTTGCGTAAGGTACCTGCTTGTCGAGAATATTTAGCTAAAATCTTCAAAGACTTAACGCTACACAAAAGACCGGTAGTTAAAGAACGTACGCCAAATACAACGCGAATGATATTTGTAGCGGGCGGTTTCTTTAGACAATCATTGGATATATTAGAAGCCTATAATGTTGATGATAAAACGTGGACGACATTGCCAAATTTACGTATACCGAGATCAGGATTGGGAGCAGCATTTCTTAAAGGCACATTTTATGCTGTTGGAGGAAGAAATAATTCTATTGGCTCTTCTTATGATTCTGATTGGGTGGATCGTTATAATGCTATAACGGAACAATGGCGACCCTGCGCACCAATGTCTGTACCACGTCATCGTGTTGGTGTAGCTGTTATGGACGAGTTGATGTACGCTGTGGGTGGTTCAGCGGGCTCAGAATATCACAATACAGTTGAATAGTATGTTAACATATTTTTTCATTTTTTTGCAAATTATATATATTTATACTTGATTATATTTTCAGTTATGATCCAGAACAAGATCGTTGGACATCTGTGCAACCAATGCATGCAAGACGTTTAGGTGTGGGTGTGGTTGTTGTTAATCGTTTACTGTTTGCTATAGGCGGATTTAATGGAACCGATCGTTTGGCTTCAGTGGAGTGTTATCATCCTGAAAACAATGAATGGAATTTTGTGCCATCAATGCATACTGGCCGCAGTGGAGCGGGTAGGTGTAAAATCATAAAATAAATCATATATAGCGTCCTTATATCAGAGTACTTATCGAGTATTTATCGATAGAAAAGATTCTTAACCTATCTTGGGAACATCGCAATTGGCAATAGTTGACTCTGAGTAAAATTGTTGATACTAGTATTAACATATACTCTTTCATCTTGTTACTTCTTCTGATAATGCAACTCAATGCGAATAATGGCTGTAAAACTGAAACTAATTGATAACGACTTTCAGACATTACACATTGTATAAAGTATAGCCAATACACTTTTACAAAATGACGTATCCAGGGAGGATAAAGGAATAGGTTCCACTCTTGACTGTTAACCCATGACTTTTTAATATATCGTCCCCTGACTCCGCCACTACTTATAGTGACACATTATATATCACATCAAAAGAAAATGTATTAATAATTTTGGTTTTCATGAGTTGACAGTGATATCATTACTCATTAACATGTTACCAATCATTCATAACACATATATATATATATATTCTTTAATAATATATTTTCTTTTTTTATGTCTTAGGTGTTGCAGCTATCAATCAATTCATTTACGTTGTGGGTGGCTTCGATGGAACACGTCAGTTATCATCAGTAGAGCGGTTTGATACCGAAAATCAAACTTGGGAAATTGTGGCACCAGTAAAAATTGCGCGTAGTGCTTTATCCCTAACCACGTTGGATGGCAAGTTGTATGCCATTGGCGGTTTCGATGGCTCTACATTTTTATCTATAGTTGAGGTTTATGATCCAAGAACAAATGTTTGGGAACAAGGCACACCACTAAGTTCAGGACGTTCTGGACACGCATCCGCTGTTATCTACCAACCATCTTGTGTAGGTACTTTTATGGATTGCATTGAGAGTGAAAGTGCTAAACGTGGC